AAAAAAAGTACTTACCAATTTCTGCTTTTCCTGGACTACTTTAAAATTATCCTCAGTCATTGTTTGATACTCCTGAATTTGCTTAGAAAGCAAACTATTCCTTTCTTCCATTAATTTGAGTTTTTCATTTAACTCTGTAAATTAATAAATTACAAATGTTTTAAATTAATATTTGAATATCTTGTATTGTTAACATACCTTCGAGTTGCTTTAAGGCGGCGGATAATTCTTCATCTTTTTTCTTACTTATATTTATTTGCGCAGATAATTCAGCCATCAATTTTTCAGTCTCAGATATTTTCTGATCGAGTTGATTAGAAACTTCTTTAATTTTCGAATCTTTCATGTTCAATTGTTCATTGAAAGACTCTGAAAGTTTGCTAATTTGCTTCATATTCTCAGTCTTAAGATTCTCCAACGCAACATTTTGTACTTCTAATTGTTTCTTTGATTGTAGCTCTAATTCTTGCGTTTTTGCTTTCAGAAGACCTTCTTTCTCTTCAACTATCTTTTCATACTTAGACATCAACAATTCCTTTTCGCTCGTACTTTCTTTTTTAATATTTTCTATTGTTTCTGTAGCTTTTTGTAACTGTTCTTTCAAAGTATTTGTACTCTGTTCGAATTCCTTTCTCATATCTTCTATCAACGTATTCTTTTTTTGCAAATCTTTCGTTGCACGTTCTATTTCTGTTCGTAAACTAGTTTCTGATTCTTTATGAGCCGCAGTTTCATGCTGATTTTCATTCAATTTTGACTCTAATTCTTCTATGCGAGTTATATATTGTTCCATAAGTATTTTTTTCTCTTGCACTTCATTCTCAAGATTATTTCTACTTTCTTCCAAAATTTTATTGCGATTCTGCAAGTCTAAATTAATGCGCGATTAAACTGTGATTGATGTGTGTGATGATTAAAATAAACTGTGAATAAAGTAGTATGTGATAAAATATCCTTTCCTGAAGTACCTTCTAGTTGATGTTTTTCTTGAAGAGCAGCATTAGAAGCTTCATTGCGAAGACGTGCTAGTTCTTCTTCTGTTTCGAATAATTTGATGCTATCATGTTCAAGTTGAGCAACACGTTCTCTTTCTTCCAGCAATTGCTTCTCGAGATCTTTGATCTTAGTTTCATTTACAGTATTTATCACCTAACCACAAATATACTTGTTTAATATTATTATAAATCAATTTAAATATACATTAACTAACATAAAGCATATTAAGGTTGCGCATTAAGCGCAATAAGTTTTTTACTGACGAAATTGAATTAGGTGAGAATGCAATAAAATACAAAAATATCATTTTTTATATACAACTATGTGTATAAATAATTATGTATATAATAGATATATGTGTATAATATACAACTGTGTGTAATATAATCAAATCAAAAATATACAAATTTGACATAATACGATAAATAAAAATATAAAATAAATAGATAATAAATAAACAACAGAGTAATAAATAAATTAATTAATTAACAAAAAAATAAATAAATTACATTGATTTTTAAATTTTTCACACGACAACTTGATTACGTATAAATAATTGATTCATATATAAAACACTTTGTGTGAAAAAAGCAATATTGGAAATAGACAGCAATTATATTTGCAGTGCACTATAAAGCTTGTTAATCCCGCACCTCTCTAACAAATTATACGTAACAATTATTACAAATACGTCAACAATTAAATCTATTCATTATATAATACAAATTCAATTTCTTCAATTGGTAATACTTTCATTCTTTTTATATTTCTTTTTAATTTTATATATCCTAATTAATTCATATGAGCACCAATAGATAGTACCATTACTATAATTATTCTAATATTTAATGTTAACGAAAATTATGAATTAATTAGTCGAGAAAGCATTGAAAAGATACTATGACATCATTTAGTTTTTGTACAAATTTGCAATGAAATGCTAAACGATATGACTACAGTGACGATAAGAGAAGCGGTGCAGAAATACAGCATCATCAACCCTTCCTCTATCCCATATGGCTGCCATCGGATACTCACACATTGTTCACTTCTCTCTTTCTGAAAAGAAACGATAAGGTTTTTACGTTAACCCACAGCCTAGATACTGTCATATACCGTATAAAATCTTTTATTTTTGATTAATTATCTTTTTTAAAAATGCAGTTGTAACTATTGCTTATGAATGATTATTTTGGAGAATTTTGTGTCTTTTAAATTAAGTTACATATGCTACAGCTTTACCCATCACCATTTTGCATATAAGCTTTTCAATTGTAGGGCAAGCACCTAATGCCTAATTTTAATATTCTATAATTCTTTGTAATCTTTGTAAGCAATTGATCTATAATTAATCTTGCAACAGAATTAGAAACTTGACAAAACAAAGTGACGTAAGAAAAAATATAAAAACCATGTATATGTTCCTTTATTTTACTTTCTGTTTTGTTGTTTAAAAAACTCTTATTTTTTTAAATTCTTTATATAAATGTTCACACTTACCTTACAACATATTTTATATAAAATTAATATATCTTAACATATCTGGAATAAATGTTATACGTTATGATGTGTACCTGGATATCATCCTTGTTAACCGACTCTTCTTCAAAACGAAACAGAAGATCTTCGCACTTCCTTTTCTCTTCCTCCAGTTGTAGAGCAAGTGCATTTTTCTCCTCGAGTAATTTTGAAAATGCAACCTCCGCCTCAGTAACAGTTTTTTGCATTTTTTCTCGATACTAAAATAAAAATTACTCTTTGAATATCATCATAAAATGAAACGACTATATAAATGATGCATGATAATATCACAACCTGCTCATATTCTTTTGTTATTGAAATAAGCGATTGTTCTGCTTGATCTGCTTGATTTGCGGCTTTCGTAATTCGTTCACGTTCTAAATCTCGTTCTTTCCGCAGGATCTCGATCTCTTGTTGTTTCTCCTTCAATGTTTCCTAAAAATGATGGAGATGAAAAAATGCGTATAAGAATGTATAAGAAAAAAATTGCAAATACTGTTTGAACATTTATTCGGAATGCTCTATTGTAAGGATTTCTCATTGCAGCATTACAATACACAATTGTTCAAGAACAAACGAATAACATATGAATTTATATCATAATACTACTTTCTATGTTGATCTTAATAAAAGCAAATATTTAATTATTGCCGTCAAAACATGCGTCTATATATACTTATGCAAAGACCATGTTTGTTCTTTATCTTAGATTTCTGCCGTTCTTATGTTGCAAGAGAACCGGTTTTTAATAAATCCAAGAAAAGCATACAAACTAAGTTTGCTCGATAAATATGCGAGTCGTGTAGTTTACCCTGA